ACTCCCGAACGTGGAGCACAAGACAAGCGTACGCACGAACAGTTTATTCATTGATTTGACTGTATTAAGTAATCCTGAAAGAGACCGACCGCACAGCCTGAATTCATGGAACTCTTTTGGACAGGAGCCTCATCTGCGGTCCGACAAAATATGACATCCATGGAAATCATGAACCCCTGAACCAATCTGGGTGATTTTTGGATATGTTGGTCACCCAGATCTGGGCTATCAGGGGATGTAGCTTTGATGGGGTTTCCATGGGGCTTAGGGGTACTTTTGGGGTTTTGCTGAAATGTGTGTTTTTCTGCCTGGTGATAATTGAGTTAGTACAGTCCATGACTCAATTATCTCCCAGGCACAGGGGAGGGATTGTCTCATTATGTATGGGAGTGTCCTGAATCTAAGAGCCAATGTAATCGTGTATTTATTTCTACTGTGGTTTACTCTCAGGTTCAGGGGGACTTATATATAAGGCCAGTTGTGGCTACCAATAAAGAAGTTCCTCTTCACCCTCAACATAGAGTCTCATCTCATGTGTGGAGGGGACATCTATACTCACTCTGGGGATTGCTATATCACTATACTCCCCTGGGATTATAATCACTGGCTCTTTTAAGAGCATATTGCTACACTCTTTTGGAGGAGAGGTCTACCCACTAGAAGTTGGATCCTGGTCTTGGGTCCAGGGTGGGTGGAGGACAGCGAGATCCCAACCAAGCAGTAACGCTGGAAGTTGGGACTATAGTGCTGATGGTGTCTGGTGGAGTGATTGGAGTACTTGGTGAGCACTAGGAGCATCGATTAGCGGAGGCAGCCGGTCGGGTGTCAGGCGGTTCACCACATCTAGTGTGACGAGACCAATCTCGCCACATTGCATTGGAGAAGCCTGGTTGCTCGCCTGCTGCCTTTGGACTATGGCCCCCTTTTAAAAGACTTTATTTTTGCCTGCAGAAAAGCTGTATTCGTGCTTTTCTGCCTGGGGTTCAGTAGTTTTTATGTAATAAATGTGACTTTATGTATTTTAAAGTGTTTTGTGTCTTTTTGCAACCATGTGCTTAATGGAGTCTTGTGTCTATCCTGGGAGATAATTGAATTACTTATCTCCAGGATAGAAGACTCTGAAACTGGTTTGGGCCAGAAAGCCATGCTTCATTTAGTCACAAAGGACTTTTTACTAACTTTTGAACCCCTGGTCTGATTTGTGCCATTTTTGAATATGTTGTTCCCCTGAATGGATTGATTGTGCATATGTAATTTTATGTGAATGTGATGTATGGTTTTGGAGTTATGAAAGTTGGGTAGAAAGTATGTTTTAACTGTTTGTATAATTGAGTTTCCTCTCAGGATAAGGGGAGGGAATATGTGGGATGTAACTGTGATATGATTGGTTGTTTTATACCTCCCTGTGGGTGGTCCTGTATTTGCAAGACTGTAATAAAAACCAGGCTGGGTGTGCCAGCACCTCAGACCACTGCTTGACCCTCAACACGGAGCTTTGTCTCGTCTTTGGGGGGATTTACTGTATGCTGCTAAGGACTGATTGCCAGGAGTGTAAGCCGCTTGGAAGCTTTCCCTGTTCGCCTGCTAGCAGCTATTCGTATGGTTCCTGTTCGTTTATTTGAAGTGCTACCTTATTCCCTTGTATGCCGTTCGGGAGTTTGGAGCATTCACTTGTATTCAGTTCGTGAGTTTTGGTGATTCTACAGTAGCTGTGCCTGTCTCTGAAAGGGGGATTATCGTCTAAGCGGTTTTTATCCCTTTTTGTGCAAAACGGTCCGTTACAATTGGTGGCAAGCGGCGGGATCGTTCCTACAGCCAGAAGGACAGCTACAGGAGACACCATTTCTTTGGATTTTACAATTTGAGGGCAACGCATGTCCCAGTACAGCGACCCTGACAGCACCAGCATGGAACCAGCAGTGGAGTATGACGAGGGTGCCATGGATGGCCGAGATGCAGTCCGTAAAGGCATCTGGTACCAGGCACTGGGTATTGTGGAGTACCAGCGGGGCAAGAGACTCCCCAAGGAAGACCAGCGGTTGCAGAAGCGAGTAGCCCTGCGGATGCCCTTCCTGGGAGAACAGCCCCTGGATGAATGGGTGAAGGAATTGGAGCACCGGGTATGGCAGGAGATTTGGCTGGAAGATGCCTACCAGGCGCTCTGGTGGTATGGGGCACAGTACCTGCCCTGGACGGCCGAGCATGACAAGCCAGAGGGAGAGGAGTTTGATGGTCCTGGCTTGTTATGGGAGGCTTTTTCAGAGCCTGAATTTGGGAGCCCTACACAAGCCCGGTTCAGTGATCTCTTGGAGTGGAGGGAGAGCAGGTATGACTGGGACAACACTCACGAAATTGAGCAAGACCTGGTCCACCTGGTAACCCGGGAGATGGAGCTAGAACAGGGCTACCAGCAGCTGTTCCAATACAGTGAGAAGGCGCAGCGGGAGAGCAGCATGACAGACCCAGAGCCAGACCCATTCAGAGGGGACGAGATGGTACAGTTTTACTGGGAAGAACCCCAGGTGGCCGGTAGAGATGGGACCGAGGTCTCTCCACCTGTCCTGCAGGGAATTGGGAGCCCAGTCTCCATTCCCCAGCGGCCGCGTGATTTATTGGGAATTGGGAGCCCAGTCTCCATTCCCCAGCGGCAGTGTAAAGTGCAGGGAGAGGAGAGCAGTATCCTCCCTCCCCAGCAGCAGGCTGAGTTACAGGGGGCAGAGGTAGTTGTTCCTGCCCCCCAGCAGCAGAGTGATATGCCGGGAAGGCAGCGTAAAGTGCAGGGAGAGGAGAGCAGCGTCCTCCCTCTCCAGCGGCAGGCTGAGTTACAGGGGGCAGAGGTAGTTGTTCCTGCCCCCAGCAGCCAAGTGATATGCCGGGAAGGCAGTGTGAAGTCCAGGGAGAGGAGAGCAGTGTCCTCCCTCCCCAGCGGCAGCGTGATTTTTTGGGAATTGGGAGCCCAGTCTCCATTCCCCAGCGGCAGAATGATGCTTTGGGAATTGGGAGCCCAGTCTCCATCCCCCAGCGGCAGCACAGATCATTGGGAATTGGGAGCCCCGTCTCCATTCCCCAGCGGCAGAGTGTCCTACCGGGAATAGAGAGCCCAGTCTCCTTTCCCCAGCAGCAGGACTCTGTATTGGGAGCAGAGACAGTCGGTCTCTCTCCCCCGCAGCTGGAAGTATGTATGGGAGAGGAGCTTGTTACCCCCTCTCCCCAGCGGCAGCTTAATGTACCAGGGGGAGACAGTAAGCCCCACAACCGTGCAGATGGGACCGTAGTCTCTACACTGCCAGCACAGGGGGTAGGGGCGGTCGGTCCTGCCCCCCAGCGACAGGGCTGTTTAGCCAAAGGGGAGACAGTCGGTCTCCCCCTCCAGCAGCAGAGATGGGTAACCAAAGGGGAGACGGTCGGTCTCCAGCAGCAGGACTGTGCATCTAAAGGGGAGACAGTCAGTCTCCAGCAGCAGGACTGTGCATCTAAAGGGGAGACAGTCAGTCTCCAGCAGCAGCAGCAGAGCGGTGTATTTAAAGGGGAGACAGTCGGTCTCCCCCTCCAACAACCAGGCTTCCACCAGGCTACCCTCCCAGTGGCGCTGGCAACAGGGCAGAGTGCCGCTGGTCTCTGCCCACGCAGCAACCCACCAAGTCAGCGTACCCGTACCCAGCACAGCCGTGGTGAGGCACCTGGACATGGACAAGCTTCTCCTTTACCCAGGTGTAGTAACCATTTATTGTGGGTGGGCTGTACTGTTGATTATGTTTTGTGGGTGGGCTGCTGGACTAACAAGAGCACTGACCGGCAGGAGGTCAGATACCCTGTTAGTCTGTTTGGAAAAGGGGAGAGATGTGACGAGACCAATCTCGCCACATTGCATTGGAGAAGCCTGGTTGCTCGCCTGCTGCCTTTGGACTATGGCCCCCCTTTAAAAGACTTTATTTTTGCCTGCAGAAAAGCTGTATTCGTGCTTTTCTGCCTGGGGTTCAGTAGTTTTATGTAATAAATGTGACTTTATGTATTTTAAAGTGTTTTGTGTCTTTTTGCAACCATGTGCTTAATGGAGTCTTGTGTCTATCCTGGGAGATAATTGAATTACTTATCTCCAGGATAGAAGACTCTGAAACTGGTTTGGGCCAGAAAGCCATGCTTCATTTAGTCACAAAGGACTTTTTACTAACTTTTGAACCCCTTGTCTGATTTGTGCCATTTTTGAATATGTTGTTCCCCTGAATGGATTGATTGTAAATATGTAATTTTATGTGAATGTGATGTATGGTTTTGGAGTTATGAAAGTTGGGTAGAAAGTATGTTTTAACTGTTTGTATAATTGAGTTTCCTCTCAGGATAAGGGGAGGGAATATGTGGGATGTAACTGTGATATGATTGGTTGTTTTATCCCTCCCTGTGGGTGGTCCTGTATTTGAAACACTGTAATAAAAACCAGGCTGGGTGTGCCAGCACCTCAGACCACTGCTTGACCCTCAACACGGAGCCTTGTCTCGTCTTTGGGGGGATTTACTGTATGCTGCTAAGGACTGATTGCCAGGAGTGTAAGCCGCTTGGAAGCTTTTCCTGTTCGCCTGCTAGCAGCTATTCGTATGGTTCCTGTTCGTTTATTTGAAGTGCTACCTTATTCCCTTGTATGCCGTTCGGGAGTTTGGAGCATTCACTTATTGGCGGTTCGTGAGTTTTGGTGATTCTACAGTAGCTGTGCCTGTCTCTGAAAGGGGGATTATCGTCTAAGCGGTTTTTACCCCTTTTATGCTAAACGGTCCGTTACATCTAGTTTTTCTCAACATAAAATATGTGCTTTCAAAATAAATAAATAAATATGATGATTAAATACCTTGTTTTTAGGTGTTTGTAATGAACAAGAAGGCATTATAAGCTGTGCACCTTTCTGAAAATGGCAACATTTTCTACATTTGAGTCTAGTGCCAACATATATTAAATATAGTTGAACGAATACTCCAAACGTGTTAAACCCTCCAGCTCGACAACAGACCCTAATCATGTGGGTGTTTCTGATTGTTTAATCCACTTGCACAAACTGAAAGAGAATAGAGGGCTTGCAAAGGCTGCAGACACCAGATTGGCAGCTTTTGCAAGCTGTTTATCATATATTGCAAAAGAAAACATGCAGACTAAAATACATATACGTTTTGTTCAGGGGTATATTTCAGGGGACTGTTTCTTTAAATCTAAAAATAAAAAAGGTATTTATAAAGTATCACTGCAAACATTAATTTTTGGAAAAAATTATCTTTGGAATACTTTATAATGCTAACAGTTAAATGGGAGAGCCCATTCATCATTCACCTCCCTTACTGTAGGAATGTTATGACTCAGTGAAACCTACTTTATTGTTTATGGTTTATTTTATTGTTTAAATATTGACATTTTCAGCATACTTGCAGACCTTAAGTGATATCCAGTAAATCCTGACAGAAAATGTGTTTCTCTCATTTCAGGGGTATAAATGAGTGACTTACGCAGTCCTGTGGATTCCATTCGTGAGGCAGTATTTACGGTGTCTCCAAAAAGACAGTAACGTGGCATTGTAAGGCCCACAACTCCAGCCACGCAAGGTCCTGGTATAAAATAAGAGGCATATTGTTAGATTAGATCTCAGCAGCAACCCCTGTAGTAGAATTTACATAAAAACAGATGCATCCAGTTGCATCCAGTTGCTGCAGGCATCTACAATTTCATTTTAAAAGATAATTTAAACATCTGGAAACGTATACTAACCACAGTCCTGCCATAAAATATTTCAATAAGGACTCACATATTCCGTCTTGTGCCCTTTGTGCCCAGCATCCCAAAACATTATACCCCATAGGGTTTAATGCCCTATATAGCTATTAACGTCTTAATTATTGCTCTAATGTGCCATTTTCAGGACCTCTCCAGACTGACTGCAAATCATGCAACCTGGCCCCATTAAGGGCTGAGCATGCGCAGAGCGCTGTTACAGTGCTCTGAGACTGGTCCAAGTGACCTAGTGAGCATGTCTATTGATTCTCATACTAATCCAAAACTGAGGCTGAAATGCCAGATTTGGGATAGTTGGGAGGTGTGCCGCTGGTTTATAAATGGGTGGCTGACAACCAATTTAAAGGGTTTTCCTGGATCCTATCAACACAAATCAGATTATTCACTAAATTATGAATTGTACTTTATTAAAATACAAATTACAAAAAATATATGACTATAGCCGAATTAGAGAATGTTTAGATTGGTTTTTAATTCTGTTCAATTTGTTTAGTGAATAACTCTTCAAAGCTCTCCTTATCCTATTTAAAACTCAAGTTTTGGAAAAAACGAGCTAAAACTTGTTATAAATCTTATTAAAACAGAGCAGAGATCATTTCCATTTGCATATTAGAAGCAATATATTTAAATGGAACGCATAAATTGCATAAATAAAATAAATGTTTTTAAGAATGCCCCATAAGCCTATGTAATGTAATGTTGGTGCCATTACGTTCACATTAGCTTATTAAGTCCACCCTGAACATATGGAACACCCAAAAACAAAAATAATGTATCCACTCAATTCAGAAACCAAAACATAGGTATTTGGACATCAAACATTGTACCTGAATGCAATCCTATCCTAATCCTGACAGGTACATCGGGCATGTGTCTCATTTGGAATGTTCCTACAGAGCTAAGGATGTCTAAGGACATATTGGCGATCTCTGCTGCATGCTTGTTTCCGTTCCTCTTTGGGAGTCCAGATGCCACCATGTAGGCATCACCGATGGTTTCCACCTGAAATAAAATACATACCATGCGTTGACACAATATTTTAGTCTTGATGTAGCAGCACAAATTCACACACACCATTTACTGGCATCCAGCCATGACTGCGGAATTAATAATCTAATTTGTATTTGTTCCAGTCCCTGAGATTTATTTGTTTGCTTACAATGCCAAGAATCTATCAACTAATAATCTATAGTAAAACACAAAGGAAAAATGGTTTAAGTGATACATAAAAGAACAACATTGTAAAAACATGACATGTAACTACAACATGACCGTTAGCACAATGTGTTTTTTACGTTACTTTCTTGTTCTCTTGAACTTTAATTTTAGATTTTTTTTTAATCCTTTATTTATGAGTGACAGTCATGACATTAACATCACATGTAACATTAGGTAAACTTGGTACAGATTCTCTGCTGATAAATACAAGCCGTAATAGTATATTTCTAAAAAGGTGTGCGGACTTTCCTTTTGGTAGTGCCCCTGTCAAAACTATGTCACATTTTTATGGTTTATGTATTTCATGCGCGACAGTTAAACGAATAATAGTTGTTAAATTATAATGCTCCATCTGTTGGTGCTGTAGGTAGCTTATTTTATGGTTGGATAGGAAGTGTAAACTGTGATTCCGTGAACTCACAACATAACACAACATTATTGAACCAACAGGGGTTAATATCGGGTCTTTGATACATTCCCATCTGGAGAAATAGAAGGAAAGAGTGAGTAAAGGAAAGTAAAGAAAAGGTACGGTCTAGATAAGAGGAAGAGTCGAGTAGTAGGTAGGTCAGCGGTGAGCCATGAGTGGCCGGGCGGGTAGTACTGTATAGTATAGTCTTCTGCTGTCTGAAACCATGTCCCGATTTGAGGGTCTTCATAGATCATTGTACTTTTTGTTGCTGTTAAACAAGTACAACAGGTACTGATCCCTTATTTAGCTTGCTTAACTGCAATTCAACCAGGGTTCCTATATTTTCCTCACATTTCTTCATGGAGCCTCTGATCCTAGTGGTCAGAGTTTTCTAGTGGTTTTTCATCAAATATGTAGGGCCCTTGAGGGCCCTGCTCAATGAGCTTACATGCTAGAGAGGGAGTGGGGTAAAATGACACAAAAAGGTAAGGATAGTATTAGACTAGTGACAGTTGCAGAAGAGGAATCAGTCAGGGGCTATTAACAGTTTAATTGATATGCTTTTATGAAGAAGTGGGTTTTTAATGATTTTTTGAAGGAGTAGAGACTGGGTGAGCATCTAACGGAGGAGGGAAGCGAGTTCCACAGGAACGGTGCAGCCCTCGAGAAATCTTGAAGGCGAGCATCAGAGGTGGGAGTACGGGCAGAAGTCTTCAGCAGATCATAAGGGCCTAGACGGGACATACTTGTGTATAAGGGAGGATAGATAGGTGGGAGCAGCATTATGTAGCGATTTGAAAGTAAGAACCAGAATTTTAAATTGAGCCCTATATTTTATAGGAAGCCAATGTAGGGACTGACAGAAGGGTGAGGCATGAGAGGTGCGGGCGGACAGGAAGATGAGCCTCGCCGCCGCATTCATTATGGACTGTAACGGCACAAGGTGGGAGCATGTAAGACCACTGAGAAGTGGATTATAGTAGTCAAGGTGAGAAAGGACAGTGGAATGGACCAACACCTTAGTCGCATCTGGCGTTAAGTAGGGGCGGATGCGCGCAATGTTTTTGAGATGGAAATGACAGGATTTGGCGATATATATTGAACATGAGGCTTGAAGGAGAGGTTGGAGTCAAAGAGAACACCTAGGCAGCGAGTCTGCGTGGTGGAGCTGATGGTAGCACCGTTGACTTGGAGACAGACAGACACAGGAGTAACAACACTTGAGGGAGGAAAGACCAGAAATTCAGCTTTGGTCAAGTTTAGTTTAAGGAAGTGGGCAGCCATCCAGTTAGAAATAGCAGAGAGGCAGTCAGAGACACTAGTCAAGAGGGATGGGGAGAGATCAGGAGAGGACAGGTAGATTTGTGTGTCATCTGCATAGAAATTATATTGGAAGCCAAAGGAGCTAATGCGTTTACCAAGGGAGGTGTCACGATAGTGACCCCTTCACACAGAGTGAAACCCAGAGGAAGACGTATACCGGACCTTAGAGTGGCCGGTCTTGTGTCTGAGAGTAGTCAAAGGAATAGCCAGAGGTCAAGGAAATACAGAAGACGAGCACACGATTATCCAAGCCAAAATAATGGGAAACCAGAGAACAGAATAGTCAGAGTGGAAGCCAAGAGTCAGATACCAAAAAAGACAATCAGAATATAAAGAGCGCTAGAGGACTCAAACAAGTACCACACTAGGGCGCCTAACAAGTGCCATGGTTGCCTTTTTATAGTGTGGGATCTTTAGCTTTAAAGCCACGCCCCCAAAAGGTCCGGGAGCGTGGCCACGTTTGAATTTTGGAGTCACTATTTTGCTGACTTCCGCGAGCATGCGTCATAAAAATGGGCGTGTTGCGAGCGGCCGGCATCAGAAGGACTGAGCCGCCTCCCAGAAGTATGGGACTAGAACATTGATTCATCCTTTCCGTAACCCCGTTTGATTGGGGATGGTAAGAAGAAGAAAGGTTAAGATTAATACCTAGTTGGTCACAAAATGCCCTTCAGAACCGTGAAACGAATTGTGGACCTCTGTCCGAAGTAATATCTTGAGGTATGCCATGTAAACGTACCACCTCTTTTATAAACAAAGAGGCCAGTTCGGAAGAAGAAGGTAATTTGATTAACTGGACCAGTTGGGTCATTTTAGAGAATCTTTCGATAATAGTCAACTATTATTCTTGGAGAGAGGCAGGTCCACTACAAAATCCATGGCAATACTAGACCAGGGTTTATCTGGAATGGGCAATGGCAAGAGGAGACCAAAAGGACGACCTTCAGGTGATTTAGTAGAGGCACAGATACTACATGCAAGAACTCACGAACGTCTTTCTTGTATGAAGTCCACCAGAATTGTTTTTTGAGTAAAGATTCAGTTTTGTGAATATCTGGATGCCCTGCCAATTTGGAGTCGTGGACAAGAGATAAGACCTTTTTTCTATAAGCCAAGTGTACGTATAATTTTCCCCGGGGAACGGTTAATGAGGCATGATCCTGGAATTTGGATAGTTCCTCCAATAACCCAGAGGAGACTTTGGCATGGACAGTGGCAATTATGTGGTTGGTTGGGATTATGGAGGAAAAGTGGGTTACGGGAGGTGATAAATGTTCATGTTGACAAGATAAGGCATCAGCCTTAGTGTTCTTTGACCCCGGTCTGTAAGTTACAATGTAATTAAACCGTGTTAAAAATAAAGACCATCGAATTTGCCTTTGTGACATTCTTTTGGCCCCTCCAAAATACGAAAGGTTTTTATGATCCGTAAGGATGGTAATTGGAATAGCTGACCATTCTAACAGATGGCGCCACTCTTTAAGAGCTGAGGTAATAGCCAATAATTCCCTATCCCCAATAGACAGGACTAGAGATCGAGGACTCTCACAAGAACCACACTAGGGCGCCTAACAAGTGCCATGGTTGCCTTTTTATAGTGTGTGATCTTTAGCTTTAAAGTCATGTCCTCAAAAGGTCAGGGAGCGTGGCCACATTTGAATTTTGGCGTCACTATTTTTCTGACGTTGGCGCGCCGCATCATAAAAATGGGCGTGTTGCGAGCGGCCGGCGTCAGAATGACTGAGCCGCCTCCCGGAAGTATGGTAAGAGAACGCCGGCGGGTAAAGGTAAGTTATCGTTACAGGAGGCAGTATAGATGGAGAAGAGTAGGGGACCAAGGACTGAACCTTGGGGGACACCAACAGAGAGGAATTAGGGAGAAGAAGCAGAGCCAGAGAAAGAAACAGTGAAAGAGCACTGGGGGAGGTGGGAGGAGCACCAGGAGAGAGCAATATCTTGTAGACCGATATTGAGGAGGATGAGAAGAAGCTGTTGATGATCAACAGTGTCAAAAGCCGCAGACAGGTCAAGGAGAATTAGGATAGAGTAATGTCCACGAGATTCTGCAGTGAGTAGATCATGGATACTTTGGTCAATGCCGTTTCCACAGAATGCTTAGCGCGGAAACCAGACTGAAGCGGTTCTAGACTGAAGCCTGTCAATCTCGCATACACAATTCTTTACAGTTGAACTAGGGGGCTTTCCCACCACATGTGGATATAGGATCCTCTATGTCCGCATCCTCCCCAACATGTAGCCGTCAGCAATCTTTTCATTCTATACAATTTTACAAGGGTTGTGTACCACCTGAACATAGTTTTAAACAATTGTTCCTGTAACGACAAGCATATGGACACAGCGTTATTGGCTTCCCATATGTTTTGCCAGTCTACACTTTTTAATGTTTCCCCTAAGTCTGCTTCCCATTGTCCTGTGTAAGTTAATGACCCCCATTCGTTTGTTTTGGAGCTTAGATGGGCGTACAAGATAGTGATTAAGCCTGACTGTATAGACTCACTCAAACACATCCTCTCAAAGAAAGACATTGCTTTGTGAGCAGTTTCTCCTAAGTGTGTTTTATTCGCAAAACCATTTAGTTGTAAGTACCGAAATAAATCGCTTGTTGTAAGGTGGGCCCTTTGTTTTAATTCTTTGAATTGTATTTTTTTTTGTTAATATTCATATGGTATCTTCTCTGTAAGCCTACTCTCACAAAGTTTTAAAAGTCTCTTGCTGCCATCCCTGGGGGGGAGGGGGGGGAGGAATTACTTTATCATTTTAAATTAATATATTTATTGATAACGTACAAATTATTAGGAAACCACCTTTCAAATGAAAAGAAAAGTAAAAATTAAAAGTTAAAATCACTGTTAATTCAATTTTGTTCCACTCACTGTGAAATCATCATGATCAATAGTCTAAGACCAATCCTTAAAATTCTCATAGAGAAGCACTGGGGACCCTACACAGCATGCGCGGCAATCACAGTGTTTCTCCAATGGGAAGCTTATCATTGAGAATCAGTGGTTTTATTCACTCTAGAAGTGAACATTTTCAGTAACCGAAGGCTCTTTACAAAGAAGTGCCCTAGTAACTAATTAACACCCACTAGAGGCATCTTTAGTGATAAATGTAAACATTGACATTTCTCACAAAATGCAGTACTTACATTTGTTAGATTGCAGGAACAGGCTCTTTCCTTTAAAATCACTACATTAAGCACCAAAACCACTGTATTAAGATTTAATCATGTTGGTGATTAGAGTTTTCATTTACTAGAGCCATTATAAAAAGTATTACTATAATAGACTATAGGGCATACAGCAGGGGCGTTTTAGCCGCGAGGCAAACAAGGCATTTGCCTTGGGCGGCATTTTTCAGGGGGCGGCAAAAAACGCCGCCCCCCAAATGCTGGCGGCTGGCGAGGGAGCTCTTCCCCTGAGCGGTCTGCTCAGCTCCCTCGCGCGCCGCAGAGTGAGGCTGGGAGCCGGAAGATGCCTGCCCAGCCCAGCCGGCAACCACTGGACCACCAGGGTTTTAATGAACCCCTCCCCCCCAGCACTCCCAAAGGTAAGAAGTTGGGGGGGGGGGGTATAAAAAATAATAATAAATGTGAGTGTTTTGTTAGTGTGTGTGTGTGTCTGACTGTGTGAGTGTGTGTCTGTTAGTGTGTGTCTGACTGTGTCTGTTAGTCTGTGTGTGTGTGTCTGCTAGTGTGTGTGTCTGCTAGTGTGAGTGTGTTTGCCTGTGAGTGTATGTGTCAGTGAGTGTGTGTCTGTTAATGTGTGTGTGTTTGTTAGTGTGTGTGTGTCTGCTAGTGAGTGAGTGTGTGTCTGTTAGTGTGTGTGTCTGACTGTGTTTGTCTGTTAGTGTGTATGTGTGTGTCTGACTGTGTGTCAGTGAGTGTGTGTGTGTCTGACTGTGTTTGTCTATTAGTGTGTAAGTGTGTGTCTGACTGTGTGTCAGTGAGTGTGTGTGTGTCTGACTGTGTTTGTCTGTTAGTGTGTATGTGTGTGTCTGACTGTGTGTCAGTGAGTGTGTGTGTGTCGGACTGTGTGAGTGTGTTTGCCTGTGAGTGTGTGTCAGTGAGTGTGTGTCTGTTAGTGAGTGTGTCTGTTAGTGTGTGTGTGTGTTTCTGTTAGCGAGTGTATGTGTATCTGTCAGTGAATGTATGTGTGTGTGTGTGTATTTAGAAGGCGGGTTAGGGGGGAGGGTTGGCGCGGGGGTGGGGGGCAGCCTGAGTTTTGTCCTGCCTAGGGCAGCACAAAACCAGGATACACCACTGGCATACAGTACAATTTACAGCACATTTTCAACAGCAACATTTCTACTAATAGACAGACATAAAAAAGATCACAAGCTCTAAGAAAATAATAGATACATGATGAGTTTTGTATGCATTATTACAAAAATGAAAAAAAGAGTTTGGAAGTTTTGATTTGGGAGACTTTCGACAGCAATAAGAATAAATGGACACTCACGCACCAGGACCATTACAGTTTATTGTAGTGGACATTGTGCAATATATGTAGGGTATCCCAAAACCCAAAGTCTAGCGCTTCACCTGCCATTCAGATAATCAAACACATTACCTTCTCCATTATGTGTCTACAGTCATATAACCTAGGACAGTGATAATGGGCTGTGAATGCTGACAGTAGATGGATTTAAGAAAACATGCAGAAGGTTGCAGACCCAAAGATTTATTTCACCATAACCACTGCACTAACCTTTAGAGGATATGTTTCCGAGAATGCCATTTTAACTCTTACTTGATACATAGTAGTCTACCAGCGCATTCAAAGCATTCCCATGCTGTAAACCATACGTAGCTTACCTTGTAAACATCGTGATTCCCCAGAACAGCATCAAACAGGGTGTAGAGGTCGTTCAACAGGTCGACCACTTCAATAGGTTCACTGAGCGCTGATATCGTGGTAAATCCAACAATATCACTAAAATAGATGGTAACTTGATCAAAATATTCCGGCTCCACGGTGCCACCGGTTTTCAGAGCTTCGGCCACAGAACTGAAATGCAGAGTGTTCACTACTCAATAATAGCCAATAATATGAAAACCATAAATATGGCATATAAAAGCTAAAGGCTAAGGATCAGATAAGGCCATAATGTGCTGTTTCCCAAAATTCAATTTGCTCTTTTTAAAATATCTTACATTTGATAGCCTTGCAGTGGGTATTGCATGTTATTGTATGAATTTATTTAGCATTTTTCCTCTTTGCATGCATGTTCACACTTTTTATTTTTTAAATTAGTGCAAATTCTTGACACTACTCAATATGGTATTTTTTGTACTACTGGTGTTCCTAAACATTTTTACAGTAGTTAGTGGGACACGTCATACCCATAAATCACTTTAGCTTGCTGACATGCTTTATGTGTGAAGAGTGCATCTTGTTTTCAATGTTTTAGAAATTGAAACTTTTAGAAATTAACCTGGTTACACTCCCAGACTGTCAATCAGACAAATGGTCCTATTACTTCCTGGTTTGTTTAGCTCAGCAATTGCCCAGAGCACCTGCCTTTCAAAGACTTCTTATTGAGCTGCATTGGGAAGTCTGTGATTGGGCAGCCACAGAAACTCTGGGCGGTGTTAGAAGGGGAGGGTTTGCAAAGACTGCAGACAAGATCTTGCAATGTTCACAAGCTGTTTTCAGATTTATCGCAATGAAAAAATGCATAATTGAAGGCATACTTGTTTTCATTGGGGTTAGACCTACTAAACAGGGGTTTTTAAAATGTTGTCAGTGGACAGTCCCTTTAACAAAGCTACATAGTTCACAGGTGCAGATTATGTTAACACTAACTTAAGCTTACTACTACTACAATGCTCACTACAGTTGGCGCATTAACCAACTGGCTTATCTCACAGTAGAGCCAGGCTCTGCAATTAAGCAAATGATGCTTTACTAAACCAAGAATGGTGAAGTGATGACATTATCAAAGTATAATAATTTGTATAAGCCCTTCTTGTCTTTAGTCAGATAAGTAAACCAGAGTTATTATTTTTATGAATATATATATATATATATATATATATATATATATATGAAAATATCTGAATGCTTGCACTCCAGTTATGATAAAGTTAAAGGACCACTCTAGGCACCCAGACCACTTCAGCTTAATGAAGTGGTCTGGGTGCCAGGTCCAGCTAGGATTAACCCATTTTTTAATAAACATAGCAGTTTCAGAGAAACTGCTATGTTTATGAATGAGTTAAGCCTTCCCCCAAAGCCTCTAGTGGCTGTCTCATTGACAGCCGATAGAGGCGCTTGCGTGATTCTCACTGTGATTTTCACAATGAGAGCACGCCAGCGTCCATAGGAAAGCATTATAAATGCTTTCCTATGCGACCGGCTGAATGCGCGCACAGCTCTTGCCGCGCATGCGCATTCAGCCGACGGGGCGGAACGGAGGAGGAGAGAAGGAGGAGAGCTCTCCGCCCAGCGCTGGAAAAAGGTACGTTTTTACCCCTTTCCTCTCCCCAGAGCCGGGCGGGAGGGGGACCCTGAGGGTGGGGACACCCTCAGGGCACTATAGTGCCAGGAAAACGAGTATGTTTTCCTGGCACTATAGTGGTCCCTTAAGCCCGGTGCTTATTGGCAATATTAATAGAACAAAGTAGTAGAAAATAGCACTCTAGGGACTTCATAAATATGATGAAAAAAATAACTTAGCTTTTATTCAGCAACTGCCACAAAGTGTCAACGGTTTCAGTTCTTATGCAGAACTTTCAGTTCTTATGCAGAACAATTTTTTTTTTTTTTATCTGAGAATGTCATATTTTTTCCTTTGGTTTTCCTATAATGTCTGCTGTCTGTTGTAATGTATATTGTTCACTTACTCATACTACTATGTAAAGGGATACTCCGCTGCCCATATTAAAACAAAATAAAAATCACTGTTTAGCAAATATACCTAAAATGAAAGCATGTGTGTATTTAATGATGTATTATTATTATTATTGGTTATTATTTATATAGACGAGCTATGTATTTTTTCATTTGACAAGATCTCTTGTTTGCAGCCTTTGCAAGCCCTCCCCGCTGAGACTTTCTGTGGCTGTCAAATCACAGACTTCCCAATGCAACTCAATGAGAAGTCTTTGAAAGACAGGTGCTCTGGACAATTGCTGCCTCTTGAGTTTATCTCAACTGAGCTAATCGAACCAGGAAGTAACAGGACCATCTGATTGACAGCCAGTGGGGTGCAGCCAGGTTAATTTATAAAAATGGCAATTGCTATTGAAATCTGAACATTTTGTAAAAAGAAAAAAAAGGACACACTCTCCACACATAAAGTACTTCCGCAAGCTAAACTGTGTTAAGGGTTTGGAGTGCCCCTTTAAGAAAGCAGAACTTCCTGTAAATGAATATAGCTTGCTAACATATTCTTTAAAATATTGCATATTACAAAAAAAATACAAGAAAAATAATAAGATAATTATATTTTTTGATTGTTCCACAAAATTACTATTTAAACTTACGGTGGTAACATCTGAGAAAGAAGTTTTTCAGTTTTCTGCTTCTCAACCTCCAATTCCTCTGTTCGCTCTCTGATTAAATCTTCCAAATTACTTGAATATTGCTCCAGCATCCTCAACATCGAGTCTATGATATTGGTCTTCTTTCCTTTGTTAATTGTTTTAAACTGTAAGTGTGACAAGGTTAGGTGGATGTTGCTGGCTTATTTGATACAATGATTGCAAGTGTAAAAAAATGAATATAAATGTAATACGGATACAATATATAATAATAACAACATATAATAGCTGCAGAATACAATGTACGAAATATAATGTAAAAGCAGGTTAGAGCTAATTCAGGAACCAGAGAGAAAATCATTTTTCAACTATCTTGTGTGCACAGTTTAGAACAGTGTGCCAACTAACTACTAAATCGTGTGCACAAGATAACTGTATCATGTGAGCACCTACCTCCAATTACATCACTGGAGGGCTCGTCGGCCACTATGTTGGTTCGGAGCCGGGTGAGGTAATAAATACCAACAGGGTTTATTTACGAAAGTGAGAATTGTTGGGAATTCAAAGATAATTGGAAATTAATTTTAAATTTAGAAAGTATTGTAAGGGATCTACTAACATATTTGGAAATGGTGATTTCCAAAATACCAGCGAGAAGTAAAGAACATATGTTTTACTAAATATTGCCACATGCAGTCAATTTTCGGCTTAGTGGTTATGGTCTATAACCTGTGCCTGCAGGCTCAGCAATGTAAACACAACTTTTTGTTTAGTTTGCTGTCTATTAATACCTAGTGGCTGTCACTCAGATGGCTACTAGAGGTGCTTCCCGGGTTAAGTCCTACAATGTTTGCAGGACCTATGTTTGGCATTTCCAAGCTTTGTATGGAGATGCTGAATGCTCCCCATATAGAGATGCATTGATTCAATACATTTCTATGAGGAGATGCAGATTGGGAAAGCACTGGATTTGTTGAGATTATCAAGATTGATGATCTCAGCAAAGGAAGCGTGGCTGGCCGTGGCAAGCATAAAATAAGATTAATGATCTCAGTAAAGGAGACGGGTCTGGGTGTGGCAAGCATAAGATAAGATTGATGATCTCAGTAAAGGAGGCAGGGCTGGCCATGGCAAGCATATGATTAGATTGATGATCTCAGTAAAGGAGGCGGGGCTGTCTGTGGCAAGCGTAGGATTAGATTGATGATTACAGTAAAGGAGGTAGGGCTGGCTGTGGCAAGCATAAGATAAAATTGATGATCTCAGTAAAGGAGGCGGGTCTGGCCGTGGCAAGCATAAGATAAGATTGATGATCTCAGTAAAGGAGGCGGGTCTGGCTGTGGGAAGCATAAGATAAGATTGACGATCTCAGTAAAGGAGGCGGGGCTGGCTGTGGCAAGCATAAGATAAGATTGATGATCTCAGTAAAGGAGGCGGATCTGGCTGTGGCAAGCATAAGATAAGATTGATGATCTCAGTAAAGGAGGCGGGGCTGGCTGTGGCAAGCATAGGATACAGTGAAGAACTGACCTGATCGAAGATCTCATCGAATGTTGGCCTCCTCTCGGCAAGTTCACTCCAACATTGCTTCATCAACTGAATGCATTGCAGGGGGGCTTGGTCAGGGGCCACAGTTGGGCGGCATAGAGGAGGGGGCTTCTTCACTTTTCTTATAATTTCTGAGTGACAGAGATAGGGAATATATGTAGTGATAGTCAGTGGTCCATTTGCAATGATTTTTTTCAGGCACACAATGTAAAACATCAGTTAATAAAGTACACAGTGCATTCTACTATTGTGTTTTCCAGTTTTAATTTAATAGTGCATTAACATTTCATTGTGGGATTTTGAGAGGTTCAACTTGGATGTGTAATGATCTAAAACTCATAATCATCAATAGGTGTTAAATACTGAATAAACATCATTTGCCATGTGGGCAATGTAGACATGCTTTTTCATACGTCCCATTAAACAGATAATAAAAGATTGATATCCTGAATATATTAATATTTTGGTCTCTGATTATTAACAAATGGTAATGACATGCTTGACAAAGACCCCATTAAGGGTTGAAACGTTGCTGGGTCTATTTGTTGTTGGAATAAATCTCCTTTTCTAAAAGAAGACTGGTGTTGTGACTTTATTGCTATACTTTTCTCCTAAAACAGCCGAGGGGACTAATCTCACCTTGCCAAATACAGACTTGTTGATACATTGTTGTAGCCGATAGCTAATTAAGGTTGCTGATAGAGATACAAATCAACATATCAGCGGCTTGCTAATAAAGCACAGAAACACACAGCTGAGAATGCGCAATCCATCCTGTGTGGCCAGTAGCAACAGGCAAGTAGAATCTGGCCAGTAGAATTTGCAGCAGCATTGAAACAAGGCTTTTTGTTCAATAGTCTGTGTAGGGATTTAGCTGACATTAATCTATTTTTTACACCAGGCCAGAGGCTGGTATTAAAGTTTTGGGTTAGTGACATCCATTAAAGGGATACTATAGTGCCAGTAATACAGAGCTGTATTCTTGGCACTATTTCTCCCCTTGCCTCCCCCTCCCTCATTTCCCCCCCAACCCCGGTAAATAAAGGGTTTATTAACTTACCTGATCCCAGCACCCATGGCCCCTGGCGCTGGGCCATAGCTCCTCCCCCTCCAATGGCCTCAATGAGTGGGCGCTAATGCGCGCATTAGACCTCCCATAGGAAAGCTTTGAATCAATGCTATCCTATGGGAAAAAATCTGATGCTGGAGGTCCTCATGCTGAGCTTGAGGATGTGCAACGTCTGATAACGAACCAAAGGTCCGTTTCACTCCAGGAAGACTTAGTGCTGCAATGTAGCACTAGATGCAATAGGGACGATGCACGCAGACCACTTCAATTAGCTGAATTGTCTGGGTGCCTACTGTGTCCCTTTAATAAATAGCAATACCATTTGAAACTAGGAGCTACTTAGAGACTGGCTTTCAGTAATGACTGTTAATAACGACCTATCGATACAGTTAGAAATTACAGTTAGTAACCAGCAGCTACCAATAAATCCCAGTAGGGAACGTGATTTTAGCCAGCAGCAGCTGGGCAGATAAAACAATTAGCAACAAGGTTGTAAATGAGCCCTATAGTGACATCTCTTATGGTACAGTATGGTAAAACATGTGACAATATAATGGTACCCAATAATGGCTTTCCATTTCTATTGGATTAGAGTTCTTGTTGAGTGTTATGGGATTATTGGAAACCTACACAGGAGAGAAGGCCGTAGGTCACTTTGTCAAACAAGGGGAGACCACGTTAATATACAGAAGTGAGTACAATAAGATAACACATCTATGATTAATAGGAAAGATTGTGTAGATAAGAATTGCAACAACTGCTAACTAAATACTTTTTTGAAACTAAAGCTCTAATAAAATGAAAATCACATGATTTAAGAATACACTCTAGTTGAAATATATATTAATTTATCAATAATTTCCCCCCAATGCATTTAATTGGACATTTTTATTCACAACAAAGAATGTTCTTACCTTCAGCTGAAAGTCCTGACATACAATATGGTGGGCCCCTTACTACGACTTCTTGTAAAATAATAGCAAAGCTATAAACATCCCCTTTAAACGTGCCTCTCCTAGCCAGTGTCTGATCCCGAAGTAACTCTGGAGCTGTCCAGAACAATTCTATGGGAGAAAGAGAGAATGTGTTCGTGATCAGCCACTAAATACTGGTATTACCATTAATATCTTTGTCTAATTGCTTGTATTATATTAAAAAACAGCAGCAGTTTATCTCAATAGATTTGTCACTAACACAAATATTGTTACCAAAGTCTATCCAATCAGCCAAGTCATCAGTCTCTACATCTTTTCAGAAAGGCAGCAGGGGCTCAGAATCTATTGGGCCACAGTTCAAAACTTGACATGGGGCCCCTAGATGTGTCTCATCCCCCAGCCCCTCCATATGTCTCATTTCTCCCCAGCTCCTCCATGTGCCTCATCCAACCAGCCCCTCTATGTGCCTCTTTCCCCCAGCTCCTCCATGTGTCTCATTCGTCCTTCATCCCCGCCATATATCATTCCCCCAGAGCCCCGTGTCTCATTCTCCCCCGTGGCCCTCCAAGTGTCACATTCTCTCCCCAGCTCCTTCATGTGTCTAATCCCCCAGCTCCTCCATGTGCCTCATTTCCCATGTGCCTTGATTTGTCCCCCAGCTCCTCCATGTGTCTTCTTTTGTCCCCCCAGTCCCTCATGTGTCTCGCTTCCCCATAGCCCCTCCATGTGTCTTCTTTCATTCCCCTATGTCGCTTTTCCCCAGCCCCTCTATGTTTCTCCCCTAAGCCCCTCCATGTCTCTCATTCCGTCCCCCAGCCCCTCTATGTGTCTCCTCTCCCCCAGCCCCATCCTTCTCACCTCCATGTAGCATGGCCGAGTGGACCATATGTCTCTATTCCTCCCTCCTTCAGCCTCTCCATGTGTCTCCTTTCCTCCCCAGCCCCTCCATGTGTCTCCTCTCCCCCAGCCCCTCCATGTGTCTCTTTTCCTCCCCAGCCCCTCCATTTGTCAGTAACAATCCACCACTATTTCCATTGTGAGGCCTTACAGCAATGCACAATGGGAAGTAGCAGAGACATCGAGTAACAGAGCAGGAAAAAGCTAATTTATCTCTAGTTTCTCAAACTGAATTCCAGGGATAATCCTTATTTTCCTTAAGCTCCCCAAGAGCACTGATATGTCAGAATTACTCATCATCATCTACGCAATGCAGTCACCTGCCCAAAATTCAGACCATGATATGCACTGCTTAGAGAAGGACATCGACCCTCACTGACAATAAAAAGGCTGGGTGGGGAATGAAAACCACAACATCATTAAAATTAAAGGCAATGGATCATTAACAGCATATGTCAATTTACTACGATAGACTGCAACTTATTAAAAGTTCTTTTTTTAAATTATAATTCGCATTTTTATTCCTACTTCTCACCTCCTGGTGGATGTGGGTAACGAGGGCATTTCTGAGTTTCTACAATATCATTTAATCCATAGTCTGTGATTTTCAGCACAAAGCGGCCATCGACAACACAGTTCCGGGATTTTAAACGACCGTGGGGAAAGTCCCGATGGTGTAAATATCTCATACCCTGTAATGTCAGAGAATACAGTTCCAAAGATTAAAATTTATCTATATATGTTATAATATCACTTTTAGCCTGTATGTCTGAAATAGGGATTGACAGAATTCCAGATCAATTAATCTAGATCTGGACAATCCTAGATTCAGTAGGATGGTCCTTAACACAATAAGCAATTATTATAAGCATTGGTTCCATATAAGATGTTTTTTAGACATACCCTACTCGTGGGCTGCACTGATTGGGCACCTGGTCACTGGCACACACGCATGTGACCTACCCACTCTGTCATGCATTGACACCTTGCATATCTCTTGGACAATAATAAAGCTTTAAAGGTAAATGCACGGTAGGTTTATAGTTTATATAGCAGGTATATTGGTTTTACTGCACCTGTTGCTTTTGGAGCCCTCAAAATATATATTCACAGTATTAGAAAAATGGTTTAAAAGAATCACCCCAGGGGTCTTTTTCCCTTCCGTGCCATTTGGTCCTGTTTTGGCCCGTCTAAGCCATGACGAAGTTTGAAATGGCATATTGAGAAAGAATCGAGGCAGTGCAACACAGGACAGGCAGGGGCAGCACAGGACGAAGTCTGAAATGGCATAGTGAGAAAGAATCGAGGCCGTGCAACACAGGACAAAGGCTGAGATGGCATAGTGAGAAAGAATCGAGGCAGTGCAACACAGGACAAAGGCTGAAATGGCATAGTGTGAAAGAATCAAGGCAGTGCAACACAGGACAGGCAGGGGCAGCACAGGACAAAGGCTGAAATGGCATAGTGTGAAAGAATCAAGGCAGTGCAACACAGGACAGGCAGGGGCAGCACAGGACGAAGTCTGAAATGGCATAGTGAGAAAGAATCGAGGCAGTGCAAAACAGGACAGGCAGGGGCAGCACAGGACGAAGTCTGAAATGGCATAGTGTGAAAGAATCAAGGCAGTGCAACACAGGACAAGCAGGGGCAGCACAAGGCTCTGCAGTGGGTAAATTGCTGGGTAATTGCAGGTCTCTAAATTGAAGAAATGAGTGTCTGGCAAGTAAGAAAACGGTAAAGGAAAAGCTCCCCAGGGAAGTAAGTGGCAGCATAAAACTGCAGTTTTTATGATTGGAAGAATTTCTGCTGAAAAATTTAGGAACACCTTTGATCTCTGCCTCTTTGATGACACCCCCTCTTTTTTTTGTTTTGTTTTTTTATTTTTCCATATTTTTCCATGTTCTAGTGATTAAATAGCTTTTTTTTTTTAAGATAAAAAAAGGAAATGATCTAATAATCTGTTTTACTAAATAATATTTTTGCTAGCTTTCCATGTTCTGAATTTAAATTTAAGAGGAGAAAAACGAGAAGAGTAACTAAGGATGATACACAAAGGCAGAGGAACATTGATTTAAAGAGGCGCTATAGTCACCAGAACACCTACAGCTTAATGTTATGCATTGTGTGTCCCTGCAGGCATTTTAGTGTAAAGACTGCATTTTCATAGGAATGGCAGAGTTTACATTACTACCTAGCAGTCACTCGGACGGCCACTAGAAGTGCTTCTTGGATCACTGCACAATGTGCAGCACTGACGTTAAGTATCTCCATGCTGTGCATGAAGGCTCTGAACGCTCCCCATAGAGATGCATTTATATGAGCATTGCCATGCATGCATATTAGCCTCCTAATGTTTCCTATGGGAAAGCATTGGATTGGCTGAGATAGTCAATTTTGATGATTTCAGCCAAGAAGATGGAGCGGTGGCAGAGACAGCCAAGGTGGACTCGCACAGCACTGGAATAAAGGTAAGTTTTAAAGGGACACTAAAACAATTTTAGTTTAATGAAGCCATTTTGGTGTATAGATCATGCCCTTGCAGTCTCACTGCTCAATTCTCTGCCATTTAGGAGTTAAATAACTTTGTTTATGCAGTCCTAAGCACACCTCCCTGGATGTGACTTACATCCTAAACACCTGTGTACAGGTACAATATGTATTATTATTGGGGGCTGCAGGGAACAATAGGTCCTCCCCAATTAACCCCTTAAGGACCGAGGACAGTTTAGGACCGTCATCTGCATTTTTGCATTGCTGACCGGTGACGGTCCTGATCCCCAGCGGCAATTACTGATGATATAATTGTTGTGATACGTTTTCCTGTTTTAAAACACTAATATTTGTGTTCATCAAAGTTTTTGAAAGTTACAGTGTCAAATATATGGGTCAAATATTTTTACATTGAAAATGGCCAGGTTGGTTTCGTTGCCTTTGAGAGCGTATGGTAGCCCAGGAATGAGAATTACCCCCATGATGGCATACCATTTGCAAAAGAAGACAACCCAAGGTATTGCAAATGGGGTATGTCCAGTCTTTTTTAGTAACCACTTAGTCACAAATACTGGCCAAAATTAGCGTTCAATTTAGTTTTTTACTTTTTTCACACACAAAAAAATATGAATGCTAAATATGGCCAGTGTTTGCGACTAGGTGGCTACTAAAAAAGTCTGGACATACCCCATATTGAATACCCTGGGTTGCCTACTTTAAAAAAAAATATGTACATGTGGGGTATTATTCCGAGATTTATGACAGATAATAGTGTTACAATGTCACTATTGATACATTTTAAAAATGTATGTTTTGAAACCGCAATATCCTACTTGTACTTATAGCCCTATAACTTGCAAAAAATAGCAAAAATGCATGTAAACACTGGGTATTTTTAAACTCAGGACAAAATTTTGAAACTATTTAGCAGTTTTTTTCAATCACTTTTGTAGATGAGTAAAAGATTTTTCAAGTAAAAGTAAAAAAACATGTATTTTTTCAATTTTTCATCAAATTTTTTCATTTTGTTAAAATTTAATTACATGATATTATATAAATAATGGTATGTAAAGAAAAAAATAATATATCATTTGTATGGGAACAGTAAATGAGTGAGCGGAAAATTACAGCTAAACACAAACACCACAAAAGTGTAAAAAGATGCCTGGTCGCAAATGTACAACATCGCAAAAACAGTCCGGTCCTTAAGGGGTTAATATTTAGGGCCCATACCCACAACCAATGTGTGGGGCTGGGAAATCTGGTCCACTCACCATTATTATTTACCAATGAGTGGGGCTGGGGAGATACAATATTTCTCCTTCATTGTATTTAATAGGCCGTAGGAGGACACAACGCTCCCCTTGTTTAGTTTGATTGCCCACGGTCATGGGGCATGGGTAAGGACACAAGGGGACACTATGCCCCCCCAGCCAATTAATTAGGTGCCAATCCATGGGGGCCTGGGGGATCTGTAACAGATCCCCCTTTATTGGATTGGCAACTGGGCAGCAATTTTGGGCTTTGAACTTCTTAATGGGAAATCCTTGTGAATTTGCCATAAGAATACCAAAAAGCAGCTACCTACTAAACAACTACTTAATTTGGTACCCATAAATATTGAAATCCCACAGAGGTAGCCATTTAGGAAGTTATCTACTAAACAGTTGCAAGATGCAGCTGCGACTTATGGCACGGTCGGAATTTAATTTTTCTGAAATGAAATCCTGAAACAAAAATAATAACAGACAAAATTTGGTTTGGACGAAACAAACTTTTTTTCCTTCCAAACGTATAAGGGCAAAACAAAAATGCTGCCAGCATCCAACTAATATTTATGTTCTTGTGTCACATTCTCTCAGTATTACCCAGCCTAACTGTAATATACTTGCAAACCAGGTAGATTAGCAATGGATCAAGGGCTTTCTGATGAACTCCATGATGAAGAAGGCTATGAATAGGACCTTTACCAAAAAAAGCATTTACATCCAATATGGCAGCAAGCTAAGGACACATATAGAGGAGGCCTTCATATAATTTTTTTCAAGAAAAGTTTTATAAAGTGCATTTTATTTGTGAATATTTTGCCAGCTGTAAATTGCAAAGGGTTAGAATACATCACAAATTTAATTCTGTCTGCAAAATTCTATAAAATTATGACATTCTGGCATAAACATATTCCATTAACATTGGTCTACTCTATAAAGTTCAGGAATATTCTACACTTCTCTACATGTGCTCATTTTTATAAATGTTATTTAATAAAAAAATAAAAAAATAGTTTTAATTTTTTTATGTTTGAACTTGATACCTTTATTAAGTCCAGCAGCAGAGACGACTTAAACATCCAGTCCAGTTTGACATCTTCATTCCGAAGGAGATCCTCCAAACTACCTCTAGAACAGTGTTCAGTCACGATGGCGAAAATACCACAATCAGAGAAAAATCCCAGAAAGGGATTGACATTTTCATTTCTCAAATCTTTCATCTGACAGGAAAGAAAATGTAGGTCATTTAATTGCCATTATAGTACAATTTAAACTCTAAAATATAAATAGCATTGGCTTTTCAGTAATACGATATAAACAGGGTACCAGATTAAGTATTGTATAATATAAAATTCCATTAACTAGTATCTCTACTGCCTTCACTGTGGTGACTGACCGTCACGGTATTTTAATTGGCCAATAATAGGACCCTGGATTCCTACGTCTACTCCATACTGGTGAGTAATGGGGAAGAGATTGTGACTGTTAAATAATTGAGTAGGACTAAGTAACCCTGGGTCACTTGGGTGGGGTTGGGGTTGTTGGCTGCTTCACTTGGCCTATTTTAATCTGCACTTTTTGTGTATTGAAAAAAAGAGGATACAAAGCCAGAGCGTATAAGATGCATGGAATCTTCCTTTAAATGCTAATAAAATGAATTGTGCTGTTCATTATTTGGGCTGGCTTGTTTTATGGATAACATGGCCATCTGCAATGTTGAATACACTCCTGAGCAGTCAAGGACTTCACCGATTCTGTTGTATTGGTGATGAATACCCAAATTAATAATTATCTGGTCTTACTCAAAGTCTCTGGGGAAACGTACCTTTCGTAGTGTACTGGTGGTACTTTGCCTCAGTTCGTGGTAAACACCAGGCTCAAATTTCTTCAACCAAACCCAATCTCCCTAAAAATATAATTCAACACTAGTTACGCGCCTGTTGAAACAATGCAATTCTAACAAGGTTGAATAACGCAAAGAACAGTATTTAAGTATTTAAAGGGACCCTATAAGAACAATAACACATTTTTGTTAGTCATTATCACAGATGTTGCATGACACCTGATGCACACATTAGGGCGAGTCCTAATACCCACATGCATATTATAAAACAAATCAATAGAAGGAGAAATTAACATGCCTAGAAGAATGGATCCTGCCTGCCAGGTCATTCATTACAAAACATTGAAACAAATTTAAACAATAATTTATTTTCTAAACAGCTGCCTTGAATATTGACTCAACAATTTGCACCAAAATAGCTGGGAGAAAATAAAGCCTGTATGGGATATTAACGTGAATATTGAAATTATGAAGGATGAGAAGAATGTCAGGGGAAACAAAATGAGAAAGCCAGGCAGGGAATGTTTTAAAAAATAAGAGAGAACTTAACGCCACAATAGAGTACGAAGTAAAATAAAAAATAAAAATGTTAATTGATGTGGATTTTTACTCTCTGAAGATGGAGAGGAGACTTACAGAAGAAATGAAGGTAAATGTAGTAATGATATTAGCAAAGTTTACAAATGCACTTGAAGGTAAGTTAGGGAGAAAGTTGTAAAAAAATTATCAATGGTATAAGAGACAAGAATAAGTCTTATAATAAAAATAATGTTGGTGGAAAGTTATAGGGAGAAAGAGGCATAAAATCTAAATTAGCACTTGAGATGGCATGGGGGACAGTTAAAAGAATGAAAAACATTTAGGGATGGAGATAGCTATAAGAGACGAGGGTTTAAAGGGACTGTGACGGACAACTGGCAATTGCTGCTTCCTAGTACTTGCGAGCACCATAAGCACCGCTCTGGGACACCATAACAACCGTAAACCACACAAACGCCCACAGCTTGGTTAAGGTCTCGCTATCATCCACCCACCATGGACCCACCCTAGACCAGGATCCAGCTTCCAGTGGGTAGACCTCTCCTAGTCCAGAGAGCGAAGCAGGTTGCACTTACAAGAGCAAGTGTTGTGATCCAAAGGAGTATAGTGATTATAGCAGTCCCCAGAATAAATATAGCTCTCCAATCCCCCAAACATGAGCCTAGACTTCATGAAGGGTAAAACAATCTCTTTAATGGCAGCCAGAACTGGCCTTATATTCAGGTCCCCATGCATGGGGCACTCCCCTTGGACCTGAGAGTAGACTACAGTAAAAACATAGACAAAATTACATTGGCTCTCAGGTCCAGGACACTCCCATACAAAATAGGTCAATCTCTCCCCTGTGCCTGAGAGATAATTGAGTCAAGCACTGTATTAAATTCAATTATCTTCAGGCACAGAAAACGTACATTTTGACAAACCCCCAAAATACCTTAAAACACACAAAATCCCCACAAAAATACATCGCCTGAAAGCCCCAATCTGGGGGACCAACATATTCAAAAATCACGCAGATTTGTTCAGGAGTTAGGAATCTCCCAAAAGTCATAATTTGACCGACCGCCCGCATCGTCCTATTCCAAAAATAGTTCCATAGAATCGCGGCTAAGTGCCACTGGCGACTGACCGGGAACCGCAAAGTCTTCATGCCGAAAATAGTTCCAGGGCATTCACAGCTAAGTCCCCCGGAAGTCTATTCGCGGTTTTGGTCCATGTGAACGGCTGCCAGGGAGCTAGCGTTCGGTTCTATGCACACAAATGGAAAGTGCCGAACCAAGGGACCTAAAAGATGGGTCTTTGCAGTCGCTGACCTGGCCCTCCAGGAGTCCATGGAAAACATCTGTGGAAAGCGGCGTTTGTCACAGGGACACACCAATGCACTAATAAATACATTAAATTTACTGTTTAGTAGATATACCCAAATGGAAACATTCATGCATTTAATTGTGCATTATTTTATTGTGAGTATGCCTAAAAAACAGCAGATCTCTTGTCTGCATCCTTCGCAAGCCCCCCATTCTAACCCCACCCAGACTTTCTGTGGCTGTCCAATCACAGACTTCCCAATGCTGCTCAATGAGAAGTCTTTGCAAGGCAGGTATTTTGGGTAATTTTTGAACTTTTAACTAGTTGTCTGATTGACAGCCAGGGTGTGTAACAAGAATAATTTTTTAAAGTGCCAAGCTCTAGTGAAATGTGCACTTTTTGTAAAAGGAAACAAGAGGATATACTCTGTATACATAAAACATTTCAGAAAGCTAAAGTGCTTTAGGGGTCTGGAGTTTCTCTTTAATCATGAGGAAATAGAGAGGGGAACAATTAGTGGAGGAGCACACTTTGGGGATAGACTAACTGAAGAGGCAATAATTATGGGATGTTAATCAGAGTTAAAGGAAGGTGCAGATGTGGCAGAACACATCCATACATTTCTATACACTTTTTATACACAATTCTATCACGAATCAGTGACGTCCTTACCTCATAAACAGCCACATTGGAGTTCTCGTGCGTTGCCCCCAAACTTTTTGTAGAGAGCGATCGAGCGAGACTCTTGCAGTCAGACACACTCTTGGTGTCACTCATATTGTCAATGTTCAGTTTCTACAAACAATGGGATTTGCATGAATTAAAATGTTTCTATTTTGAATAAAAAAAATGTACTTTAAATAAATCTTTAATCATCTTTATCTTACAAAATCTAAAACACAAACATGTCTTACATAGCACACAATATTAAAGTAAGCAGACATACCAAAACCTCACAAAACATGCCAAAATAAAACACATTTGTGCCTGCTTCCATGCTACTCCATAATTGAAAGATAAAACAAATTCTGCTGGAGCTATGGTCAGCTCTGTCTAATTCTGAGGAAATGTATGTCACTCATGAAAAGAGATAGAAGACTCTCTCTCTCCTCCCCTGACATTGGCCTCTGTAGGTTGTCTTGCAGCTGAGTGCTTGGTCTCTCTTGGTATCATATATAACTCTTGGCTGTTAAATCTAGCGTGCTGCTCACAGGTTTAGTGTACAGCTAATATTATATACAGCTGATATTGGGAGACATTACGGAATATGCTGGGGCGATCTGTACTGCGGAGTCTGATCAATGATTGATGTTAGCAATGGATGTCTAACTTTGACAAATGTCAGATATTTTATAAACTGAATGCCTGTAATGTTCTGTTAGCATTTAGACTGTCTGTATAGCTACATATAGGGTGATACCACCTTTACATAAAACTAAAACAAAATCACTAAATAAAATAGATTCTTAGTAACAACCTCGCAATACATCTAATTTAAACTTAGCAGAAACAGTAGTGTGCTGTGACAGTTCTCCTTTAAGGTGGCTGCTTATAACAACACAATAATAAGATGCATGTTTAATATATTGAGTGAGAATGATAGGAAAATGATGCCATTAAAGGAAAACTTGAAAATTAGTGTTCCTTGCTCTGTTGAGATTACTGAGGACCAACTTATTATACACAAATAAGGTTAAAAAAATGACAGTTACACCTCTATTCCAGAGTTGGGACGGTGCCAACTCTCCGGGAACTCCGCCTCTGATGAAGTCATTAGTGTTGATGAATTTTGTCCAATCCAGTGTTTCCCATAGAGAATCACTGGGGATATTGGGCACATGCGCTGCAATCACCACTATTAGAAGCATTGGATGCATTTTACATCATCGCACTGTGTGTTCTGACACCAAATGTGAAGACCTCAGAAAATCTTTGAAAGTCTTCAAAGCCGAAGCAGCTGTAGTGTCTGACAGCCAGTATACACATAGTTTAGACACGATGTAAACATCGCCAGACAAAAGGGTCAGCATCTGTACACCAAACCCACGTCATGAAGATGAAGTTGTTTCTGGTTCTTAAAGGGTCCAATTATGGTTCTTCATAATAACCCACAAGATTAAGGTTCCTGAGATTGCATTATTCTTCTTAAATTAACCTGTCACAGTTTTTCTATTACATTATTATTTAAAATTTAGGTTAGTGCTCGAGTTAAGACAGAGGCTACACTTTGTCACATCCTGGTCCTAGCTGCGGATCAGTCTGGCAATGGCTTCTGGTATCCAGTACTCTTTTTACAATTCTTGTTTAGTTTTTCTTGGTTTTTCTGGTTTTCTATTCTATGTCTGGTTTTCTTTATGCTGGGTTTTCTGAGTTCATTCCTTTATTCCGTTCCTGAAATTCCCAGTCTCCAGGATTCATTTAAATGTTTGTTTTATGTTGCCACACCCGTTCCTTTTGTTTCAGTCTGGACCTGCAGCAGTGGTTTCAAGTCCTCTGCCCTTTCTTGCAGGTAAGTGCTGTATGTGTTTCTTATGGTTCTTTTAGCAAACTTTAGGCAGTGTAGGACCTGCCAGGTATGGGGTACATTGGCATTGTGGCAGGCTTATGCAATGTATGATCATATAATGTAACTAAATCCCCATAGTTTTTCATATATAGTGCTTAGTTATGTCTCCTCTTGTTTTGCCTATTATATATTGTCTTGTTTTATTTTGTCTTGTATTCCCAGTTCATGTACAGTCCTGTCCTGCCCTGTTCATGTTTCCCTCATGTCTTGTGTACATGTTCTTGGTTCTGCTTTCTGTCCTGCTCCGGTTCTGGGTTCTCCTAGTTTTGTCTTGTTTTCTTGTTTGGTGACTATCCTAGCCTTGCCTTGTTTCTGTACTGGGTAGATTCCTGCTGCAGAGCCTCCCTATTCAGCTCCTGGGAGGTCTGCTTATTTTCAAGCTCCTAGTTCCTGTAGCTGCATCAGGGTTCTGGTATGTGGCCGCACAAACGCTGGTGCTCTACACCAGGGGGCTTGCGGTTACCCTGCACCAGACCGTGCTAATCCACTTCCACACTGTGACTCCTACTTCATCATCAGGCATACTGGGTCCCGGTTGTCCGACCGCTGCCCAGACAGTGTCTGGGACCCGGTTACCGGACCGCCACCCTGACACACTTTAATCTTTAATCTTAGGGTGGGCATTATTTATCTTCCCTATAAACAATGAAATCCTGAGAAACCCAGATTCACTCATTCTGTGCAGCACCATCTTGCAGATATACAGACACACATATAGGGCATTAGTCTGGGGCAAATAAGGCAAATAGGGTATTAGTCTGGGGTAAATAAGGCATTAGTCTGAGGAAAATAAGGAAAATGTGGCATTCGTCTGGGGCAAATAAGGCAAATGTGGCATTAGTCTGGGGCAAACAAGGCAAATGTGGCATTAGTCTGGGGCAATTAAGGCAAATAAGGCATTCATCTGGGGCAAATAATGCAAATGTGGCATTCGTCTGGGGCAATTAAGGCAATTAAGGCAAATAAGGCATTCATATGGGGCAAATACGGCAAATGTGGCATTAATCTGGGGCAATTAAGGCAAATAAGGCATTCATCTGGGGCAAATGAGGCATTATTCTAGGAAAAATAAGGCAAATAAGACATTAGTCTGGGGCTCTGACAGTTCCCTGCCAGCCATAACAGTCAGCTAGTCAGTGAAGCGGCACTGGGCTACTTGCAGATACCCATTATGCATTTTGTGGAATGTCGGCAGACTGCAAGCGTTTATAGCTCATTATAACGGTGAGAGTATTTGACAGTTAGTGACAGTTAATGTGAGAACTGCATCATTCTGGCTCTGTGCAGTATACGCTAGGCTGTCGTCGCCAAGCCTTATTTCTTTCACCAGTCAGGAATAACTCCATGTTGCACAACATTCCATTACAATCCACATCAAAACATTGAACCTCCAGAGAGGCAGAACAAAAGTTTTCCTCTCCTGGCCTATTGCATTCAGGCTCTAGAAATGTAATTTGGGACTAAATGTAAACTAAATATAAACTAACATACTGAGCAACAACATCACTGGTATATGTTACTAGAAAGGAAACAACCCACGAACACTAAACTCACAGCAACAGGTTAAATCTGTCCAGTTATTTAAGGTTTATATATGTGATGGAAATGCACTCAATCCTTTGTCTGGAATTCAGGGTGCTCAAGTGGATAAGTCCCAGTACCAAAAAAGGACCAATTGTAGCATTTAAATATAGAAAATAATCCAGGCACTCCAACGGATTCTAAAATATAGGCAATCTTTATTGGAACAAGGAACCAAACAGCAACGTTTTAACCCCTTAGGACCTTTGTCAAGCTTGACAAAGGCCCTAAGGGTTTCGAAACGTTGCTGTTTGGTTCCTTGTTCCAATAAAGATTGCCTATATTTTAGAATTTGTTGGAGTGCCTGGATTATTTTCTATATTCAGTTATTTAAGGTTGACTTTTTCATGTTGTAGTTGAGTTAGTTAGTAAATGTCTCCCCGGTTTGTCTCCTTTCTCTGAATGTCTTCCTGGTTTGTCTCCTTTCTCTGAATGTCTCCCTGGTTTGTCTCCTTTCTCTCAATGTCTCCCTGGTTTGTCTCCTTTCTCAATGTCCTCCTGGTTTGTCTCCTTTCTCTCAATGTCTCCCTGGTTTGTCTCCTTTCTCTGAATGTCTCCCCGGTTTGTCTCCTTTCTCAATGTCTCCCCGGTTTGTCTCCTTTCTCAATGTCTTCCTGGTTTGTCTCCTTTCTCAATGTCTCCCCGGTTTGTCTCCTTTCTCAATGTCTTCCTGGTTTGTCTCCTTTCTCAATGTCTTCCTGGTTTGTCTCCTTTCTCTCAATGTCTCCCTGGTTTGTCTCCTTTCTCAGAATGTCTCCCCGGTTTGTCTCCTTTCTCAATGTCTCCCCGGTTTGTCTCCTTTCTCTAAATGTCTCCCTGGTTTGTCTCCTTTCTCTGAATGTCTCCCTGGTTTGTCTCCTTTCTCTGAATGTCT